TACACCCATGAAGTCATTACCACAATCCTGATCACCTATCTCGCTTACCGGTTTTCAAATTTAAAATAATTAGGTCAAATGAAAAATCCCACCCTCCCTCCGTTGCGCTAGCCACGTTCCACACACTCAGAAGCCCCTCGTGGCCAGTCGCTGGTGGCCTTCCCTGCTAGGATAAGCGCCCTCTCAAGCTGGGCAGGGCCTGGTTGGTCGTTTTCACAGTATATCCCCAGAGCTGGACTCATGGGCACTTGAAGGAGACCGAGCATAATGGGACATTTCAACTAAGTCCTGAAAGATGTCCAGCAACTAAGGGAATGGGGAGAACAGATTGGTTAGACACGGTGCGGTCAGGAAACGATGAATCAGGACTGAGGGGCAGAGGGGCCTTGACCAGAGCATGGGCACTGAGCCAAGAAGGTGAGGCCCCAGAGGATGTTTTGAGGGTGGAGGTAAGCGCACAAGGCTGTTGTCAGCCCAGCAGAGGGGCCTTGAAGGGAGCTCCTGGGGACGGAATGGTGTGTAGGCGAGAGCATGACATGGAGCGTAGAGCCGGACCGCCCGCTTTCAGATTTGCCAGCTCTGAGTGACAGTGGGAATGTCTTTGAGCCTCTCTCTGCCTCAGTTTTCCTCATCTGTAAAGTGGGGATAACAACATTTCCCTCGTAGAAGTCCTATGAGGATCCAATGACTTAATTCATTTAAGTTGCTCAGAACAGCACCCGATATTCTACGCACGTTCATTATTAAGGCAGGGAGACCCACTGGCAGGTTCAGGACGGTGGGACCTACGCCTTGGCTTCCAGTGAAAGTGAATACACCCCCCTAGGTTGTCGAGACCCATTTCTGTGGCTTACCCCAGCTTTGAATTCATGTCTACAGAGCACCCTGCAGGATGCTCCCTCTCCAGTTGTCATTTGTTCACGCTTCTGCGCGCACTCCTCAGAGTGGCCTATGGAGGACAGCCCGGGCCTGCCCTGAATTAATCTCCCCACTCCCCCCACGCTGTCTCTCCCCAGGGCACCTTCGCCTCCCAGTTGACGCTGGAAGGGGACAAGATGAAAGTGGAGAGGGAGATTGACGGGGGCCTGGAGACCCTGCGCCTGAAGCTGCCTGCGGTGGTGACCGCTGACCTGCGGCTCAATGAGCCCCGATATGCCACGCTGCCCAACATCATGGTGAGCCCCTGGTGGATGGGTCAGTGAGGGCCTGCGCGTGGGGTACACTGAGGGCCCGGGAATGCGTGAGTGCTGCAGGCCCTGTGCCTCCCTGGTGGTCAGGTGGGAGGAGACAGGATCCAAGGGACATCTCATCCAAAGGAAGGGATCACTGGTCATTTTGTCTAACACAGAGGGCTCACTGGGTCATCTATGCCAATAATGAGAGCTCCAGGGGGTGTTTTGGCTAAGCGGAGGGGGGGGGTGCTGTTTACCTCAGCCAACAGAAAGGCTTCATTAGACAGTAAAGGAGGGTTCCCCTTATCATTACAGCCAGTAGGAGCAGTTCATTCTCTAATCCTAGCCAGAGGAGGGTTTACTGGGTCTCTCAGCCAGAGGGGAGAGTTCAGTGGGTTATCTTGGCCAGTAGGACAGCCTCAATGAGTCATCTCAGCCAATAGGGAGAGTTCAGTGGGTCATCTCAGCCATAAGGTGGGTTCCGTGGGTCATCTCATCCAATCAGATGGGTTCACTGAGTCACCTCAGCCAATAGGGCGAGTTTAATGGGTCAGTTTGACCAAAAGTCCAATGAGTTATTACTGCCAGAGGATGAGTTTGCCAGTTCATTCCAGCCAGTGAAGACTGTTGACTAAAGTAGAACTCTCACAATAGGAGGGCTTCCCAGGACATCCCAGCCAACAGGAATTGTCCACACCAGATGTGGCCCTACAAGGGGTCATATGTGTCCTGGCTGGTGGGTAGATCCAGAAGGGTTCAGCAGATATGGCACCTACGGGGGCTGCAGGAGGGTGGGCAGGAGATTCAGCAGCCTTGTGAACTGTGGCTTCCTGTCTGTAGAAAGCCAAAAAGAAGAAGATCGAGGTCCTCAAGGCCGCGGACCTGGGCGTGGACCTGACCTCCAAGCTGTCTGTGGTGAGTGTGGAGGATCCGCCCCAGCGCACGGCTGGCGTCAAGGTGGAGACTACGGAGGACCTGGTGGCCAAGTTGAAGGAGATAGGGCGGATTTGAGCCCCTTCCATGAAACTTGGCAATAAAACTATGACTCTTGATGTCTGTCTCTGTTACTTCATTCCATGGACACCCATTCCTTGATTCATCAACAAACACTTAATCTTCCTGTGTGCCAGGCCCTGTGCTGGACAATGCCAAGATCCAGGTGAGTCACATCTAGTCCCTGCCCTTGAGAAGCTTCCATATTGAAGGGAGGATGGACATGGGCAAAGGCAGCCATGAGGTGGGGTGCTGTTTGCTGTACATGGAGGCAGCATTGGGCATTGGGAGCCCACATGGGGCATCTGAGCAGCCTATGGGGTCAGAAAGACTTCCCAGCATGGTGGCATCTGATTCTTGAAAGACAAATAGTGAGGTGGAGGGGATGGAGAGCTTTCATCTGCAAAGTATTTGCTGGGGACTCCTGAGTGCCAGGTCCCTGCTGAGTCTTGGGACGCAAGAGGGAAGGAGGCGAGATGCTCTGATTCTGGTTGGGGAGACAGACAAGCAAGAGACAATCAAAATCTGGTGTGTGGATGAAGAGCCAGGGCCTGAGCCAAACTTAGTGATTTCAAGCTCTCACTCTCCTATTTACCAACTGTGAGATCTTGAGAGAGTCAGTTCCTGTGTCTGAGCTTCAGTTTCCTCACTTGGCCTATTGAAACAGTAAGAGTTTAGTGTAGTGGTTATGAGCCTGGCGTCTGGATCCTGAGGCCCCGGGTTCAGGTCCTGGCCAATCCCTGTCTCCAGGAGGACCTTTGTCAACTTCCTACTTTCTAAGCCTGAGTTTCCTCCTCCATCAGCTGCAGTTAGTAGCAATACCTGTGATCTGGTTGTCTGCTGTTGGTGGCTTAACCCAACAATCATTTACTTTGCTCACAAACATGAGATTTGAACTTGGCAGGAACAGCTTGCCTCTCTTCCATGTCAAATAGGGCCAGAGGATCGACATCCAAGATGGGTTCATCACATGCTTTCAAGCTGGCTGGGGCTATTGGCTCCAGGTGACTGTTAACTAGGAGCCATGATTCTGCTCCATGGGGCTGCTTGAGCTTCCCCACAGCATGGAGGCTGGGTTCCAAGTAGGGGTGTTTCATGATACAGGAACTAGAATATGCCAGTATCTTGAGGCCTAGGTGCAGAAACATGGGGTCACTTCCACTCTACTCTCTTGGTCTAGAGGTCACAGAGCCTATCCAGATGCAAGGGGAGGGGACAGAGACCCTACTCCTTAAGGGGAGAAGGGTTGAATTTGCAGCTGTCTTTAAACTATAAAACCTACCCCATGGGGTTTTTAAGGGTTAATGTAGCACCCCCAGAACCACATTGCCTTGCAGAAAATGCTCACTATATAGTATTACCCTTATTATTATTTGCATGGCGAGAACTCTATCTGGGTCAGCTCAGAGGACTGGGACCTGAACAGAGGTGCTAAGGCCAGTATGGGGTAGCAGGAAAAGCTTTCAGAAGGAGTGAGCAGTCTGACCATCCTGAGCTGAGGCTACCCATTTTCTCCCTCTGGCTGTGCAACCTCCAGTAGGTCCCTCTCTGAGCCACAGTCTCCTGGATGGTAAACATTCAGCCCATAGGGCGTTTGGAAGGGTTCGGCCATAATGTCTGGGAAACATTTTTGCACGGTTCCTGGCACATGATAAGTGGTAATTATTATTTTGGTTCTTAATAAGAGACCTGAAGGACAAGTTGTGTTTTAGCCAGGTTGGAGGGGGGTGGAGAGTGAGGGAGAGCATTCTTGGCAGAGGAAACTGCACCTGCAGATCTGGGAGGGGAGAGATGGGCCTAAGAATGGCAGGGTGTTCTAAGAATAAGTGCTAGAGTGGGGAGGGAATGGGTGGAGTGCATGGGTCTAGGTCAGGCAGGATCTGGAAATGCCTTGGATGTCTCTTGAGGGCCCTGGGGAGCCATGGGAGGGCTGTGAGCAGGGAAGGGGCAGGGGCAGCTCTGGGTGTAGAAAAACTCAAGGGCCATGTGGGGATCCATGGACTGTAGGAGGCAAAGCTGAAGATAGAAGGCTAGACAAAGGGGCAGGAGGAGTGGACAAGGCTTATGCTGGGGCCTGGCCAATGGGAACAGAGAGGAAGAAATAGGACAGAGAGATGTAGGGGGTAGGAGGGGTGGGATTCAGAGATTCACAGGGGTGAGGGGGAGGAAAGAGGGAGGAAGGCGCCCCAGCCTCTACATAGGTGGTGGGACTGTACTTGAGATGGAGAATCCAGGAGGAGAGTCGGGTTAGAGGGAAGATGCTAAGTTTAGTGGGGTGCAGGGCATGGAGGCTCTAGGGGACTTGGAGATGCAGTTCTGGGTCTCAGGAGAGATGACTGGGTGGGAGATAGCCACTTGAGACTTGGTCCTGAGGGTAACAGGAAGTCATGGGAGGGTTAAGAGCAGGGCCAGACATGGGTATATCTGAGGCTGCAGGCAGGACAGAGTGGAGAGTCCAGGAGACTGGGGAGGGGGAAGCCTGAGCTGAAGCCAAGGCCATCAGAGGTGAGGCTCTCTGAAAGGTCACCTCACCCTCCTCCAGGAAGTCCTCCAGGCTTTGTTTCCAGCTGAGACTCAGGTCTTACTATCTCCCCCTTGAGAGTGGAGAGGTCAGGGGTCAGGCTGGGCCTCCCCTTAGGAGGGACCAGCTGATGAGGACCAGTGGGGTGGGGTGGGTGGCTTGGCCACCAGATTGGGTAGGGGATCCTGGTGCCTCCCACTGATTCTGGCTCCCTTCCCCGCCCAAGAAGCTACCAGTCCTGTCAGACTTGTCCGGGGAGGGACAGGTGCGGGCCCTGAGTCTCACTCCAGTGTCCTCCTGGGTGCCGCAGCACCATGGACACCTCACAGGCTCTGCGGCTCTTCCTGCTCCTGGGTGAGTCTCCTGCTCAGCCCCTTCCCCACCAGGCTCCCCTCTTAGCAGCCCCCCAATGCACTCCCCTCCTCTCTTCTGCAGCCTCCGGAGTAGGGGTGCTTGCTCTCAGAGCCTCTTCTGGAGTTCAGCGAACCAATTTCATCTTGGACTCAGAAAGCTCTTCCCGGGGCCCGGATTTGAATGTTTCTTTCATTAAACCCCCTGGAGGGAAATTTCTGGATCAGCCTCCAGGTTCAAGAGCCACTGCTGATATCCCCCATTCCAAATGGATTCCCGAGGCCCTGAATTCAAACGATGTACCTGGGTCCTTCTGGTCAAATGTTTCTGCTGGGGACCAAAAGTTGGGCCTGAAGCCCACCATCCCTGGGATCCCTGATTCCCAAGGACTTCCTGATACCTTGGGTTCTCAAGTTCCTGCCAAAGACCCAGAGCCTGCCTTTTCTGTTAAGACCCCAGCTTCAAACATTCCTGTTCAAGTCCCTGACGCTCACGTATCTGCGGAGGGCCCAGGTTCAAAGTTCTCCCCTGAGGAGCTGGATCTTAAATTCTCCCCCCAGAGCCCTGAACCCCAAGTTCCTGCAGCAGCTGCCCCAGGGCCAAGCTTCCCCCAGCAGGTGGGGGGGCCTCTTGCTGTGCTGGTGGGGACCACGCTCCAGCTCCCCCTGGTTCCAGTCCCCAGCCCTGGACCCCCTGACCCTCTGGTGGTCTGGCGCAGGGGCTCCAAGGTGTTGGCAGCAGGGGCCCTTGGGCCAGGGGCCCCCCTGATCAGCCTGGACCCTGCTCACAAAGATCGCCTCCGGTTTGACCAGGCCGGAGGAGGCCTGGAGCTCGCCTCCGCCCAGCTGGAGGATGCTGGGGTCTACACGGCTGAGATCATCCGGGCTGGGGTCTCCCGGCAGACTCGGGAGTTCACGGTGGGTGTGTATGGTAAGTGGGCTCTGAGGTCCAGAATGCAGGCTGTAAGGGCGGCTCTGCCATACCTTTGGGGTGGTCACTGCTGCTGGGAGGGTGTTTCCTCCCCCGAAGAAGGGGACAGAGGAGAGGACCTCTGGGTTGCAGGGAGAAGAGGGGCTGAGGGCCAAGACCAGGGCACCTGAGGGAAGCGGGACCTGGGGACCAAGACCCCTGGGGGCCCTCGGCTCCTGAGGTCTCCGGAGGAGAGAGCTGGAGAGACTCGCGGGTCTGTGAGGAGGGGACTGGGCCTAAGAGGAGGCCCCGGCTGGGGCTGGAAGAGCCGGGTGGCGGCGGTGGGGGGCTGGGGCTTGGAGTCCTGCACCTAAGGGAGGAGGCGGCCGGGGCTGGGTCCTGATCGCGGTCCTCCTGTCCCAGAGCCCCTGCCTCGGTTGTCCGTGCAGCCTGAGGCCCCGGAGACAGAGGAAGGGGCGGCCGAGCTCCGGCTGCGCTGCGTGGGGTGGAGGCCGGGCTGCGGGGCGCTGAGCTGGAGCCGGGACGGACGCGCCCTGGAGGCAGCGGACCCGGAGGGAGCGGAGCCCCCGCGCATCCGCTCGGAGGGCGACCAGCTGCTCATTGC